GAATTTTTTGGCACGTTACGACCTTACGTTCGAGTATCTGAAGAATATTAATGGGAGAGATAAAAATAAAAGAAAAAAATCTTATAATTTTCAAGGGAAATACTATCTGTCTGTCTGTCCTGTCTGTAGGAGATTTTCTTGTCGGGCAACGTCCAGTATATTTTGCGACTTTATTCGCGCTTAGTTAGAAAAGCTTTTAATTAAATTTCCACCGAAAAAGTTCGACGAGAAAGTAAGCATGAACTCACTTCTTCTCATTGGCAAAGCTCGACTTATCTGTCGTTTCGACTTTTTCTCGAATCACAACTTTCATTACGAATATTTTATTGACTTATTAATATTATAATTAATAAACGTATTATTAAATAATCTCTCTGCCTTAGATAATCCCTGAGGTATACATGTATAAAGTGCTAATCAATACTATGATCATCCTATGGACGGGCTTAATTAGCCTATATTTACGTCTGATCCTTATTCACGGGACTAATTGGCCAATTTGAGCTTCGTCAATAGAACAAGTATTAGGCATTGTATGCTACTGGAACACAAATACAGGAATTCTCAAAAGATAACTATGATGCCCATTTAATTTGAATTTCCTCATGGCAAATAATTCAGGTATGCAAATGCACTCGGATGCAATACAATAATAATAAGCCAACTTTTAATCAATATAAATAATTATTATTATTTTTACTATTTATAAGTTTACTTAATCTTAGCTGTTATGCAACGCTAATCGTATGTATGATTACGATAAACTTTACCAGTAGGAACTGAGACTCGGTATTCTTCTATAATGAACATATGGATCACGTACCAAGAAATAAGAGGGTGGTGAATAATGGAAATAAAATATATTAAAAAGAATATAAAAAAAAAAAATTCGAACCACACTGCATATCGTATTGTAATCCGTACTGGTACAAGATTTATTCGCGGCACGATAGTATTTGCAAAGTTTCTCCACAAGATACACCATGGGTCGATGAGTACGAAAAAAGAATTGGTCTCAAAGATTTAGAGTTAGTCTTTCGACATCTTTCAGATACTTCTTGGTCGTATATAATTTTCACATCGAGGGAAATGGTAACTTTTAAACTAAAAACTTTTTATGCCCAGAAACCCCCAGCTTATAAAACGTACGCGTTCAGCCTACGGAATGAAGACTATGACGGACTTTATGATGATAGAAAATAGCGTCGTCTTATCGCTCGTAAATTCGTGCAAATTTTAGCCCGTGGCTCTGTGTAGATTGATGAGGATTCAACTCTTGGGAAATATGTGTGCAATTTAAACTAATGTCGTTTCATTTAATTAATTCGTTTTTATATTGGTCTATCATTCGCAATGAGTCATGATTCTTTTATTTTAAACTTTTTATTGGTTAGTAAACTATATTTAAGGGAAAATTCATTTACTTTACTTTCTAAAATCTACCTGCAGGCATTTCTGGAATAATGGACAATGCACGTAGGCTTTGTGCCTCTAGCAAATCAATTGCCAGCTTTCGTCGTTCATTGAAAACTACCTTGACACGCAGCATTCAAACTCGACCATTAGTACTTCGCGTACACGTCTAGTGATACATGCAAACTGTATTGCTCGTTCTTTCTGTGCACAATGTAGAATATATATGTATATTTTATTTTTTTCAAATATATTTGCTATCTTGAAAAAACTGGACCATCCAGTTGCTATATTGGATCTAACATTCACGCGATTAATAACTAAAATTAGCTTATAGAATTTTAATAAATGTCTCCTTGCGCTGAAAATTCAAAAATTCTCTTTTTAGAATACTGAACCCTATACAGAAATGATATCTAACTCAATTGGAAGGAAGAATCATAAAAGATAGGAAGTCAGAGGAATTTTGTATTTTTGTAAAAACATAGAATGATCTGCTATAACTGTTATTCCTTTGAGCTCTTTCTAGTTACTCTGGAAAAAGGGATTGTATTCTTTTTCCTAAGAGGACGGCGTATATATATATATATATATATATCATTTAGATAAAAAGGAATATTGGGTAAAAATAGTCACAGCGATTGATGTTTTTTTCATGAATATAAGAACGACAATAATAAAATTTTCCTTTTTTTCCTTTACGTGAGTAACTTCAAAGTTTGAGTTTGCATTAAATTGAATGCCGATCGAGTCCACTTTGAATCAGAATGATATTAAGTGCATGGTCGGATAGTTCTGTTACCATTTTCATAAACTTTCTAGAAAACTACATTACTTTCATGAAAAGGACGCAGTATAACGGAACAGCCCCAAAAAAATACACGTATAAAAAACTATGCCAAGTACAGGAGTGCTATGAATTCCTCTAACAAAAAGTATTAAAGTCATATCATTAATGACTTGATTCGTCGCCTCGGCTGTATCGCCGGTTGCCTGGTACTTGGCGCCAGACTCGGTCGAGTCTCTTGACAGAGAACATGACTTGATACTTAGACTGTATAAGACTGAGATCTACCGCGTTAAAATAAAAAAAAAATCTAAAATTGTAATATTCTAAGTAGCTTAACTTATTACGCCCTGTCGTATCACAGCCACGAGGATTTAAAGTGCAGCCGATCGATCTTTAGCAGCTTACATAGATATAGCATTGCCATCCTAGCGGCTTGTGACGCAAATGGAATTTTATAGAGATGTCATCACGTACAAAAGTTATAACATAAAAAAGACATACGGATCCATCACACGTAGCCACTTTGCAATGCACAAATTCAATTTCTTGCTTTATGACGGACATTCGATAACTCGGCCTTATCAAGTTTCACTAGGTCCGTGGTATTTCGCAGAAACCGGCTCTGCCCGCAAAGTTCATGTTATTTGAGACAGGAAGAAAATGGACGGTATCCAGGGAATATCCTTTCGTGGCTCTAATTTAATTTCAAACGAAGACGAAGCCACTTAAGCTATGGTTTAGGGAGTTTTAAAGCAGTAAAACCGAACCCCGAGGTTTACTAAAAACGACGCCGTCGCCGTATTGCCCGCAATAATTTACCGAAGTTTCGTAAAATATCGGGGTGGTTTAGACTCGAGGACATTGTCGCACGTACGCCATTTATGTGGGCTCCCTCGGGGACTCTTTACGGATGCCGTTATTAAACCTTCAGGGTACGCGAGTATCGAGAGCACATTTCAGCTTTGGATATTAGCAAGATATCGTTTCACGATTATTTTCATGGGGCATTTCGGAAATTGACTCTTTGCGTTTTATAGCTTCGTTGTATACGTAACTTACGGGAGAAAAGCTTTCGGGGTCTTTAAATATTTGACAAACTGCCTCGCCCGTGTATTTCACTTTGAATTCGTTACTTTGATCGTTTCATTCTGCACGCCATAGTCTGGCTTTCTAATGAAACCTTAATTTTCTTACGCCGCACGATGTCTCGCGATTTAATGCCGAAAATCTGCATAGTATTGGATCTTTATGCTTCTGTGACTACATCGTACATAAATGGCGGCCATTGATCGTTTTAATTAAATTTATCGAATCTGTCGTCTCGTGCGACGTCACGCGGGTTTTGTAGTAAAACAATAGAAAATTCGTTATGGAATAACATGGAGTAACTAAGACACTGCGGTTTGTGGTGAACAGGCGGGAAATTTAAAAAACTTCAATTCTTGCAAAGGTTTGGTCGATTATACAAATTTAATTGGAAGGTTATTTAGCTTGAATATTTATATATACTTATTAATGAGTATTATGTGGGAATGATTTTATGGGCCATTTTAAAGACTGTCATTAAAACTACTGACCTACCTCAACTGAACTCACTAATACTGTAAATTGGAAACTGTCTTGAAGTCAAGCGAGTTTCGGAATTCTAAGAGACTGCTTAGATCCCGTTTGATCTTCTAGTTTATTACGTGGCAATACCTTAGGGTGGTATCTCAATGAACCAGGAAGCTGTATACCCTTAGGGTAACACGGTGAGATCGATCATTTATAAGAACGTGCTTCAGGATGCTTTCGACTAAAACTTAACTGTTGACTATTACTATGGCATTGCATTGTTAACGATTTAGATAACTAATTAATAATATACTTAGTGATAAGTGCAGAACTTTCTCTAGATCCGGTACGAATGATTCGAAGGCATCGAGAGTGAAATGTGAGGGAAGTTTGAAGATAAATTTTAAGTTTCAAGAGATCGATATTGCTAGAGCTATGTACTTTGTCTTCGAAGTTTAAGAGCAGACGTTCATTCATCTCGATAAATCGGAAATGCAAGGTCATCTATTTTCAGAAGTTATTTGTCCTGAGTAACACCGTCTTGGATGCTGGATAAAGCAGTTATTTTCTATCCAGCTTCGAGAGCGACTATTCGAACAATTTGAAATTTGGCCACTATTATGAAATTTTGCCAAATTCATAACACCTAGTATTACTCTCATACGACTTTTGCTAATACTCATGAACTTTTTCCACTACGCGTCGATGAAACTTTCTCGGGATAACATCGAAATCTAAAGCCGTAGGAACCCACGATTGAACGTATCCAACTCTGTTGTCTTTGGTTGATCGTTCGGCTCACGTTCAACTTAACGAAAATTTCTTTTTCTCTTCGCGAATCATTTACGCCGGAATACTTCGACTGAACTTTCTGGCGAGGAGAAAAACAAATTGAAGTAGTTTTATCGAGTCTCGCAATAGTCCCTGCGAAAGAATTTATATTGAACAGAGATTCTTTTGCGAAGACGATTTTCTAATCGAACTCGATGCTTCCCATTTTTTTTTTGTTTTTTTTTTCTCTGTATCATTTTGCTCTACGAAATACTTTTATATGAGACAAAGATCGGTTTTTCCAACTTTCAGTTATTTAAAGAGGATGTCTGGTGGGAAAAAATGTGTCTACGGTCTACCTTGGTAGCGTCATCTCTACTAGGGTGTTGTGTAGTAGATGTAGATCAGGTATACGGTGAATTCAATATTATAGATTTTTTTTATTTTTCTAAATACAAATATGTATATACAGGATATGAATTTTTTTGGGTAATATAATGGAAAGAAAAAATTACCAATTACCAGAAAAATTACCGCGTTACTTGGTTGCTGAATCTAGGGAATAAAAGTTCCTAGGCGTAGGCGCGCTCATGTTGAAACCACCCCCACGATATTTTTGGATATTCATATTTAAAGTAGGTAATACAGTCTGGTTAGAATTTTTTAACTTCATCTCTTTGGACTTTTGTTCTTTCCTTTTCAAATTATAATACTTCACTTTCATGTTACAGAGTTCTTTGTTCATTCTCTCTAAATTGAACTTGTACTCTTCCGAACGTGTTTCGCACATGTTCAACTCGGATACAAGACACTGTTACAGAAAAAGATTGAAAATTAATGTGAAATTATTTTTTTTCAAAATCTTTTACACCTACCTTCATCTCTTTTCCTCGCTCTCTGAGCGCCTTCTGCGTGTTATCCAAAATGCACAAAACCTCCGGTCCAGGTAGCTTCGACAAAATTTCACGTAAATTCATATACAGCTTTTCACTCTCTTTGATCTTCTTCTCCTTGTCAATCATTTCGGAGCTCATTCTCAAAATTCGCTTCTGCAGAATTTGGATCTTGACAAGCAACTCGTAGGTGTCAGGGTCCGATCCCTTTGAATGAAAATGAGGAAAAATAATTCAAAAAAATTATTTTGAACATCATCATAATATGCTAGCTTTACACTTTGAGGTACCTCCAGTTTCCGCCATCTGTGAATATTCAATGGATTCTGCATTTCCTCCTCAAGCGCCATTACCTTCAGCCTCTCTTTGGTCAGATCTCTTTCAAGATGAAATATCTCTTGACGCAAGTCACTGATATTGCTGATACTTTTTGACAACAGAGTCTTCTCGGTGCGCAACTTCTTGACTTCCAATTTGAGTAATCTTATGTCATCCAATCTTTGAGCATATTGAGCCTCGCCCCTTTGAACGGTCCCATCCAAAATTTTGATTCTACTGTACTGAAGACTCAATTCGTCGTTCCTTCTCACTAATTGGGTACCAAGAATATCGCGTTCGTTCATTATTGTATCCACATCCTTTTTCAATCTACTGATATCCATCTCAGCCAAATGTATAGTGTGTCTGAAAGTTTTCTCTTCCTTTTTGAGCTCTTCAATCGCATGACGTAGATCACTGCTCTCCTTATGCGAATGTTCCAAATCGACCTTTAACGATTCCTTCTCTTTTTCAGCCTTTCCCAGAACTGCATGGATCCACAGACGACAGTGAGTTCATCGAGATAAGTACAATGCAATTTTTTCCTTATACTGTTAAAAAAAAACAACTTACGAAATTCTTCTTTAATCAAACTAGCTTCCTTAGTAGCCACGTCCTCTTTCAACTGTTCTATCTGATGATTAGTGATTTTGAAATTGCTCTTTAGCTCCTGAATTTCATCCTGTGCTTCTATCAGGCTCTTGCTACATGAATTTCTATCAGCACGGACAGCTTCAAATAGATTTTGTTGTTGCCTGTACTTTGTTTCCGCTTCAACCAAACGTTTCTTCAAATCGAATATTTCAACCTGCTTCAGTCTCAGTTCATCCATACCGTCCTCTACCTATTCGCATGTGAAATAATCAAGATCCTCATTATTATTATTATATCAATAAATAAATATAAATTGGACTCTAAGGATCAATTCGTATCGGTTCGCTATTCTTTATTGGGAATCTCATGTAATTTATAATGATCCTATTGACCCCCTTTGATATTTATTAATTTCACCCGATTACTCGAATAGGTTAGGTTTACCTGCTGTGCCAATTCCTGAGCTTCTAAACTAAATTTGTCTCGTTCCTTTTCAACTGCTTCCATGTTTCTCTTGACGACATTAGACGCTTGCGTAAGTTCATCCGTCTCCGATTCCAGCTTCCGTTTATTCTGTTCGTATACCGCCAATTCTATCTGGAATTTTTTGACTGTCTCCTTCAGATTTGCCATGTTCTTAGTTATTATGTCCTTTTCGCGCATCAAGGATTCTATGGTTTTCTTATCAGTCTCCGTTTGTTTGTTTAACATCGTTATCTCGCTTTCAGCATGCTTCAAACTGGCAACCGATTTGCTAAGCTCTTGCTCGATCTTAAACTGCATCGATTCTTGCTTGACCAATTTTTTCGTTAGCCAATCCTTTTCATTTTTATATTTCCCCATCTCGGACTTCAATCTGAAATTTGATACTTTCGAATGAAATTTTTGTCATTCGTTTCTACGAATTGAAATTCTAATACTCGTAACCTGTTGTTCAGTTGAGTCAACATTCTCAATTCTTTATTCTTTTCTTCCAATGCTTTGGATATCGATTCCATTTGCACGTTCATATTATTAATCTCGTTTTGTAAAGTCATTCGTCGTAACTTCAGATCATCGATTTCATTCTGCATCTTCTCGTTCGTACTCTTTTGATCTTTCAATTGATTTTCTAACTTTTGAATTTGATTATTCGCCATCTTCTGGGCGCCAGTTACAGTCTGGTCGAATAATCGATTATCGACGTTGATTGTCAACGTGCAATTATATTTACATATACGTATATAGTATTCGTATTACCTGCAGGTCGGTAGTCTTTATCTTCAATTCTTCCTGAAGCTGCTGAACTTCATTTTCAGCCCTTTCGCGGGCTCTGTGCTCTTTTGAAAGTTCATTCAATTGCGTATTCATTGACTCTTGTATATCAGCCATTCGTTGATCGGTAGCGCTATTCTTTCTCTCCAATTCTTCCGTATATACGGCAATGTTGTTCATACGTTGTCTCAAAGTTTCCATTTCCCCCATAAGACGTTCCCTCTCTCTGAGCAAACCTTCTTTCTGCTTGTTAACGGCGTTACTGAAATTTTTTCAAAAAATCACAATCATATTTTCCTCGAAAAAATAATATTCGCTCATCGCTCAAATATATTTCCGTTCTTACTCCTCGTCCATTCCCAGCTGTCTGTTTTTCTCGTCGATCTCGTGATTCAATTTTGATATTGATAGTCGCAAATTTTCAATCATTTCCTGCGCATTTTGTTCCCGCGCATGAGCTGCGTCAGCCAATTTCATAACGTTCACAATTTCCTGCTTGAGTTTACTTATAATTTCTTCGTCCGCTTCCACGATCTTTTCCAGCTCATAGATCTTCTGATTATTCTCAACTACGACATCCTGGGAGAACAGAAAAGTTTGAAAGAACAGAGATACTTGTACGCTTTTCCTTGTACTTTATATGCGACTTTAAAACTTTCCTGAGAACTTGGATAAACTTTAGCGATTTAGATCAAAAGTCATTGGTCCAGTCGTAAAGTCGTAAGATATAAATTACGATTACCTCTAAAATCTCACATTTTTCAGATAAATCTTCCTCTTGTCTATGAATCTTGTACAAAGTTTCGAAAAGTCTTGTATACTCGGGTTCGTAAGCGGCCAACGCTTCGTTGCTCTTCATCTCGTTCATCACCTGTGCAAAAAATTCATATAATTTGGTACAGTGAAAAATATTATACAGTAACAAACAATAGTATAGTAATTGTGCAATATATAGTACAAATAGCACTGAGGAAAATATTTATGTATTTTTTAACTTTTTTCTTCTTCATATACATTTTGGAATATTTCATGATCCTTACCCTGGCATAATCTTGTTCCAAAGTGCAAAATACGGTTCCCACCGAACTTCCGCTGGATGACGAGCTACTGGTTTCGCTTCCATCATCCTTGAAATTTTGAAATTGAATTAGACCACGAGCGTTGTCCCTTATGAAATTACAGGACCTGGTCGACCGGGCGACCAGTTTTGCAAATTTTCCTCAAATACGTTTCACTTTCACAGCTTTTGCATTTGAACTTGGGCGGAAGTCTTAAGCCTTCGTTCCTAGTCCGATTAGGTTACAGGGAACGATTAATAATTCAAAAGTAATAACGTCATTAATATTCTGCCTTTTCCTGTGAATCGCCTTTACGCGCGTGCGCTTCCTCCGAGTTCTCGTACTCCTCCATTATCAAACGACGTAGCGAATAATCGTATAAAAAGTTCAATAAACTTTATAGAAAATTGTGCGTCGACCGATAAGATGACAAATTGGATGAAGAAATTTAATAGAGATGAAAACGAAAAAAAAAAGAATGTCAGTGTTGATCGATTGGGAGAAGTTAGAAAAAAAAAGAGAGAAGCAATTTAAAAGGACTTTATCTAATTATCCTGGTTCGACTGAAAGAGCTTTTACTCTAGGATATACTCGGTAGGTAAGTCCCATCGTAGTTCGGTGCAATTTAACGTACACAAAAAACATATACATTATTATACCTTACATCCGGTGTAAAACTTAAATAAATCAAAAACTATATAAAAATTTATTTTATCCTTACATACCCTTCCCAATTCAGCGTTCATTTCCATTTCCATCATGATTCCTGTCGCACGTAAATTGAGAAAATACACCAAATATTCTTACACCAATTGTAACTCTATTTTTTTTTTTATTAGCAGATGTCTAAAAAGTATACATAAAATTTTCAAAAATATTTTGTATGCCGTTCACACGTGAAATACACATGATGCTTCATGGTTAAGAAAAATAATGTACCCGTATAACATACGTTTGAATGTTAGTTTTTTTTTTGTAAAATAAAAAAATACTTTTTAAACCACTCTTATGAAATCAAGAGACACAATGGAACTGGCTTACGAGTACGTGAACGTTCACTCTAGTAAACGAGACGCTTTGTTTCACGAACAACTTCTTCGCGATTGAAGTGCTTTTCATATGACATATATCAAAGAACAGGTGTACCGATGTACAAGTATGCCGAACACGTTGTGGACATGTAAAATGATTTGATTTTGTTGACTGGTAACCATGACGACAGAAGCCCTTTGCGTTCTATAGAGCTGAAATGAAATCGATATCTCATTGGATGCCTGTGGAGAATAAAAGATAAAGAAAATAATTCACGAACAACAAGAAATCTTAAACATCTTAAATAACAAATTTTATTTACATTCATATTTCAATTAAGTTGATAACCAAAACCAGGGCATATAATCGAATATTGGTCAAACACATTCACAATACAATATTAAGAATATTTTCCTCGTTCGCGCGTATCTACTAAGTGCTTTTTTTTATTTATTTATTATACTTTTTATTATTCAACGACCGTGCTCACGTAGACGCTCTTCGATTTCCCGCGATGGTTCGAGTGGCGGGTAAATTTTTTTTTTATTTAGCGTAAACAAGGCAAACAACGATAAGCGCGCTTTACATACATCCCTCTATACCCTGTGCAGCAATTTTTTATATCTACGCATCTCGAAACATTAAAGTATCGGCACGAGACAAAAGTTTGGCCGTCATTTTGAAGAATTCTGTCTTTTGGATTTTTTCTATTTTTTTTTTTTGTGCAAGAGAATCCATTTTTTTTATCGATAGCCATTTTTCTTGTTTTATACGTGTACTCTACGCAAGCACGGCCGCGTCGAAGCTTAGACGTAACAATATACCTACAATTGGGCAAATAATATAAAAATAATTCTAAGGTACAATTTGTTTCATTGAAATCGAAATCTCCGTAGCTACTCTTGTTTTTTTTTTCTTGGGCTCACGCGCCGATGGCGACTTACGTAGTACATACGTTCGTATAAAGGATTGGATAAAGCGACGAGTAAATTTCCATGGGCGCGATTTAGACCCAATACATATGATACCATTGTTTTCTTGTTGTTCTTGTTCCTTTCAATTTTCACCTTTTTTCCCTCACTTTTTACAATACTCTTTTTTTTTCTTATTTTAAATCGAATCGATGCATCGAATAGAAATTTTTAATATTCCTTCCTTTTGCCTAACAAGACGTCAGTCATTGTAAAAAATAAGTCTCCACCAATTTTATCACTTTATTTTTTTTTACTCCTTCGCGCGTAGTTTCCATAACGCCGTTAGAAAGTATCTCGAGGCGATGCTGGATAGACGCGGTCCAGCGTTGACGGTTTCGGTCACCAGATACAAATAAAAAAAAAAATTCTCACGACTCCCATTATTATTTTTGCGCCTTTCTCTATCGGATTCGACTGTCTTCCGGGGATTCCCCTATTTTCAACGATATCGATACATTTTTCGCAACATTTAAAACACCCGTAACTTCCACAGTGTCAACGTTTTAAAGCACAATATTTTTTTTTTATTTACCGTCCCTGCTGTGTATTTGTGTGTGTTTTTTAGCTAAATATTTTATATTCATTTTTTGAATCAAGAAAATATTATCGAATGTACACGTTTAAGACTTAACTCCGATCAACGGTATTATCGCGGAGCTTATTTTAAATACGCACGTTCAATTGTTAATTTATAACGTGACGATTATTTTTATCGACAAAAGCCTCACGAGAACTATTGCTTAATTTTTTATACAGTATCTAAGGGAGAAGGGAGCGCTCTTCGTCATTGGCGTCCAACCAATATCAATTGACGTTTGACACATATGCAAGTGGAATAAAAATATTTATCTGCGCTCTCTAAGAACACGTTTCGGGCTCTATTCGCATTGGCGAACTGATGATTGCGCTCGCCCGCGATAACGATAATTTTCAGCAACGCGCGTTCACGTATTTCCTTGATCTTGTTCTTACGATCCGCCAGTCTTTGCAAATTGATTTATCGCAACGGAGAGGAAGCTCGAACATTTACTACGAGAGTTTCGACACTGGACACTTTTGAGATTTGATCTCGGAGTGTTTACAAAGTTTTCTATTTCTTTTCAAAAGTCACGAATTTTTGGCTCTTTCGAAGGTTTAGGCCTCTTCAGCCTTCTCGTGTGTCGATCGGGTCGATCACTGCGGGTGATTTCGTTGTCCTGGGAATTTTCTTCACTAGATGACGTGCACCCATGTGTGAACGGTGCTTAAACGCATATTTCCTTCACAATAAATTCATCGAGACACGCTATTCACATATTTGACAATTAATTAATCGTATGGAAAAGAAGAACGGCCTATCGCTTAAAAGTTGTCCTATCGACGAATCACAAGTGTCACAACGAGAAAACACGAAATTTAATAACGAGTCTTCGGGATTCGTCTTAAGCTTTACGTATATATTTATAAGGAAATCGCACTTAATATTTCTCGATGCGTAAGAGAAGTTCGAGAATTTGAATATGCAGACTGGTCATAAAGTCACATCTCTTTTGAAAGTGAAATATCTTTGGAACGGACAAGTTTCTTTGTGACCACCCTGTAGAGTCGCACTGAGTTCGCATCGTATATCGAAACGCTTTTTTAAACACTAGAAAAATGGATTAAACTAGAGAAGATCGAGAGGTCGATAAAATCTTTTCGTTTAAGGTTACCGAAGAAAGACGATAAAGGGTAGAGGCTTGCTTGTCGGATTTGCAATTTATTAAAAGAATTAGTATCGGTCATGAAAAGCCCGTTAGTAGGTTAAACACTGTGATGTCTACGATCGGTACAGTCTTCTTTAAAATCCAAATGCACACGTATATTTCTTTTATTCGGGTGTTCATTGAGTATCCGATTTAAAAAAAATCGATTTCAGCCACGAAAATCGGAATCGTACGAACTGTCCCAAGAAGGAAAAAACTTTATTGTCACGACAGTTGGCACGAGAGCCATTATAACAGTTGTGAATTTCACGAAAAATCGGTTCGCAGGTCACCCAACGTCGGCAGTTTATTTATGCGATGCTTGGAAAATTTACAGCCATTACAATTTCTTTAATTAACGATGAAACCTGCCGTGCCATTTTCTGCTTTATACATAATCGCCAACTTCGTGTCCCCGTACCGCGCCAATTAATTCGTATGCCGATACCTCATACTAAAAAACCAACTTTGAGTACAAAGAAACGCCCGTTGCTTCCGACTTCCTCTCGTCGCGAGTCAGTTTTGGAAAATTAGCGAACGCGCAAAAAAATCGCGAATTAATTCATCGACATAAAAATGATTGCGCTGCTTTAACACGTTTCTCACATATGACTCCACATATACTCGAGAACTACACGTTATTTCAATTATAGATCGTTGAAAAAAAAAGCCTCGTAATTTCTATATCGCTGGAGTAAACGGCTCCATTAGCATTCGCTGTTACTCCCTCGTTGTAGTATGAAAAAGAAAGAACGTAGAGAAGAGAGAAAAAAGGGTAAAATCTCGCGCTAAGTCTAATCAGTCCAATCGAGTCTTAACGAGAGAGTCAATCAAAGAACTCTTCGTTCTCGATCGATCCACGAATTAAAAGAAAAAAATCATTCGCTTTCTCATCGTCGATTTATCATGGCGCTCTATCGTTCGTCGTTGAAGGACTAAACGCATTATTTTCTTTGCAAGCAATGCACTCGCGCACGCCTGCTCGTTCTCTTTGTAAAGGAATGCGTATACGGGGTGTATAGTTATATGTACAGCTTTGATATCATGTACGAAGGTCGATTTCGACATGATGCGATACGCGAGGCAAAAGGTATGTATACGTCTATATGCTATATATTCTATGGCTTAGGCGAGCCTTGAGGCTTCGCGGTCTTTCAAAGGTAAAAGGGTGAATGGTTAAAACGAATAAAGAAATCACGAGGACGGTCGCCTCTACATCGAACAAGACGCTCACAACGTTGTCTTTGAGCGTGTTAAGTGTGAACTTGATTGTTCACGAGAGAGTGGTTTTGTCCAGTCTCAGGATAGTCCATTCTATTAGATAAGATATTCAACTAGCAGACGTGACACGGGAGACCGTGAAAGGCGTCACCTGATAGAGAAAGCATCGGTTGCATACGCGGACAGGTTTCGTGTGGCCGTAACGCGGCAGTGGTACGTTGTTGCTGCTACAACGGCCGCAAAACACTTTACCGCAATTCCGGCAGTGGTGCCTGCGACGTACTACGGTGAAGCCAGCTTGGCAAGCCATGCATCTTGGTGCATCGTTATCAGGTATCCAGGCTGGTGCCCTTTCTACGCACTCTTCACCACGTTCTGTTACCGGTGATGCTGCAATTGAGACGAATATTTAGAGTCGTTGATTATCGAAGTTTTTACACTAGATAGTGGTTGTTTGACATACTTCTCTCGTTGGTCGGTGTTGTTTCATCTAGAGTTGTTTCATCCTCCTCGTCCTCCTGAGTATCACGTCGTTCAAGCTCATTCGTTCTGTCTGGTGTTCCCGATGGGGAATCATTTGGTTGACTTGGAGGTACTTCAGTTTCCTCACTCTTTTCTTCAGTTTCATCGGTTGTTTGGCTGCTGTTCATGAGGAAAACGCACTTCAGAATGTTTCTCAGATCTGATGCAAAGTTTGTTTGTAACTGATCAGCCACACCGGCTATGCAAACGAAAAGTCGATGGACGAGATCCTCTGAAGATCTACAGTAATACAAAGAAAGACGCATTATTAGAGATCACTCTACGGGCAAAGAAGTAAATGTATTGCGAAAATGAGGCGTACCGAAATTTAGCCCTTATCTGATTTCTGTTAGCAATTTCTGCTGCCTGCATGGCTAAAGCTATCTCTTCGTCGTCCTGACAATCGCTCTGAAATTCGCTAGTCTCTGAACTGGAGTCGCAGCAACTGGAGCAGCTGGAACTGGATTCTAGATCGGCTCTCTGAGCTAATGACATTTCCAAACTCGACGAATGCGCTTTGGAAACTACAGCTGGATTAACTAGTCTTGCCGCTCTCTGGGAACTTCCGTCCCTGTATTTTTGCCCGCGATATGAACAGTTTTGTGTAGAGCTCGGAGAGATTAGCTCTGTCACCACCAGACCACTCTTATCAGTCCTAGGTCCCAGACCATCATTTAATAATTCATCGGGACTTCTGGGACTAGACTTCCTTCTTCCGTGTTCGGATCTACCAATCATTCTCTCATACTTCTCTCTCTTGTCGGAATCTCTTCTCTTTATCCTAGCAATTTGTTCGGATCTCGACCTTCTGTGATCCAGAAGCTTCTTATTGTGTGATGAATTGTTTCTGTGCACCCGATGACTCAAATCAAAACGTTGACCGACATTTTGCGTAACCCGAGTGTCAAAGTGCTGAAGTCGTGGACTCGTGTGAGGACTGTGACTTCCGAAATTAGGCATTTGCCTTGTATTCTGACTGGGATGCAAACTGGCTCCAAAATTCGACAGCCTGGGATTCAGGCATCGGTCAGTGGAATTGGATCTTGAGCTCTCGGTGCTCGTAGGCACTTGGAGGTTCTGCACACTATAGGGAATGCTATTGTGTATCTTATCGTGATCCTTACGACTTGACTTTTTCTCATATTTACGCTGATGCCGTTTCCTTTGTTTCTCATCTTTTGCTCGTTTCACAGCCATCTTCTCCTGGGCATACTTTTCAATCTTGTTACCAATCTTGTCGATACTTCGCGAGGTCGAGGGACAATTCTCGCATTTGAGATCATTCCAGAATTCCTTTCTTGATGTGGACGCGTCGATATTTAGATTAAGATTCTCCCAATTCTCGGAATAATTGATCTGGAAGCTAGGCTGATTAGAATCACACACTGATATCTGACCATTGCCATATGCCAGACCAACGAACTCTTCATTGGTTCCATCGAAATTCGACGATATCCTTGGAATGTTCTTTGCGGACTCTGTACTCGCGGAATTCAGTCCAGGAACCTCTATGGAACTATCCAAAGACGCTATTGTCTTTGAACTCCGAAGACTGCAGACACACGAACTTTCCGATATATTCGAATTCTTTCTCTTAGGCGAATTCAAATTCGAGCACGAGTAACTCGTATTTTCCTGTTCCTCTTCCTCGTCGCAAGTTCTTTCGTCACCTTGCTCGATGTCATTGGCAAAAGTTTTCTTCTCCTCGGGACTCTTATCACAGAGACTAGTATTTTCAGATGATATCACTGTACAAATTCCTGAATCTGTTTGCTCAGAAATCTCATTTTGACATTCGCCATCGAGTAGTAAATTTGACAGTGTCTTGTTCGCCTCGGAAATTAATTTTTTCGAGTCCATATCTGGCAGAGAATTTTGAATGTGAATAGTCTCGCCAGATACGTTATTCTCGTGGGAGACTTGATTTAGCAGATATTGAGTCTGAGGAATTTCAATGATGTCGGTTGAGCCAAGTATTTGGGTGATGTCTGAATTCGTATAATCCTCATCATTCTCCATGCTGTTATTTCTGCTTTTTTCGGCGTTGCTAGAAACTCTACTCTCGGCACTATCCTGTCTTTCTATGCACTGTACTAAAGATTGGGACGAGCCAGGATTAACTGTAGAACTGCTTTGACTAACTTCCTGTTCCTGGGAGTTACAGTGCCTCTGACAATTCGATTCTGGCGGATCTACCAATGAAGTTCGTCCATTCCTACGTTCTAATTCCTCGAGATAGCGTTCTCGTTCAATTCGAATCCTCGCATCCTCATCGAGAACAGCATCCCTACGTTCGTCATCCTGTACCTCCTTAAAGTGTGCGGATCGCTTTAAGTCTTCTGGCCTCGTATCTTTACCGATTCTCTCCTTTCGACGTTTCTCACGTTCCTTCAAGGACTTCCTGTCGCTCGAATGTTCCACCTTCCTATTTTCTTGATCCAATATTTGAACCGCGTCGTTGGCTACCTCATCCATATTGCTCCCCGTGTTTCTTGTGACGGTATAAAAATCCACGATGAAATCCTTGCAGTTTGGATAATCAGTGTAAAAGTTATGAACAAATTCTTCCAAATCCGGTACATCCTGATAGGTAGACTTCGTAGTTTGCGTTATAGGTGCTGAGGGTTCCTCGTTAGAGCACAGAAGCTTCTCCAGCATGTAGAGCTCACGATTATTCAGCGTCCAGAGTAGTTCTCTTATCTTAAGAAGGAGGGTCTGAAAGACAGAAAATAAATTTGCAATGAGATATAAAATTCCCAACATAACCAAGATCTTCTAGTCTCTTCCTCCAGACTTACCCTGAATGGTCTGAACATTTCACTGAGAGTGTCGGCCGAATTGAGACACAGAGGTCCTCCAGGAGAAGCCAGCAGACCCGATACAATAGCCAAACGAGGAATGGTGAACATCAAAGCGGGTTCATAATTATCGACGTCAGCCTGACTGAGCAGCCCTCTTTCCAATGCTCTCTGTAGAGTCTCCGAGAAAAGTACGCATACGAGTTCCTGTTGTTCGTACTCCTTGGTAGACTTGACAGGTACCATGGCGCCAACGTAGCACAATTCAAAATCAGCAAACAGCCGATCAAATATCTTCAAAGATTCAATAAGCTTCTCCAGCGATGGTTCGAGAGGGTTTTGAGTCTGAAATACGTGCTTTTATAATTTATTACACAGTCATATCAATTAAACTTACCATAGAAATACCTCGAGGTATCCATAAAAAGTAATTACCTTCAAATTCATTTGGCCCTTCAGAGCATGTTCCCTCAGGAGATTCCTTACAATTTCCAAAGATTTTGTCAGTGCCTTCGCCAAGGGTCTCATGGCTGAACTCTCAGCTTCTCTGTTCATAATGGAAGAACCAGCAGCCAAGCATTCAGCGCCGAACCAAAGTTGCCCTGCGAGGTTTTCCTGCATTACGTCATCCGGGAACTTGACGCGAAAATCCCGATTGGCCCTGCTCTCGGGGATGAGGTCATCCATGATCTGATTGCAGATTGTCAGGACCTTGTCCTGACAATGTCTCAAATGATTCACAAGGGTCGTGCATCGTTCGGGCTCCTGACGACCATCAAACGAGTCCAACTCGCAGGCTACTGCATTCAAGGACTCATCGGCGTAGAAAAACTGAGCCAGTAAGCTGGTATCGTCCCTCTGAAAAAGAATTCATTGCAAATGAGATAAAGCCAAATCCAACCAGTGATTATAGTACTGGATTTACTTTCAAAATGGAAATACGAGTATACGATCCCTGTCGCGTCGAACGAAGAGCAGACAATTTTTTTTTTTCGAATTTGCTCAATTTCCTATTAAAAACAAATGCATTCTTATCGTATCGTGGAAACAAGCAGAATAGACTGATATGAAGTTGGCTGCAAGTGATACAAAGATATAGACGATGCTTTATGACTTTGGGTACGATCGTTAACCACGACTTATTTTTCTCGCCCACGTGTGTACAGTGTGTCACAAAATGATATCCGCGCGAATATAATGCAGCTGTTATCAGTGAATAATAAAATTCAGCACAATTAACGAGGCAACGATGGAACAATTAGACGTTACGTAATCGATGTGTTCGATCCGTCATAAATAAAGGTTCCAGATACAATGTCTCCTTTATTCTCCACGTAGAAATTCCGTCTGTCGTCGAGTGGCTGGTATTAATATTTTAGATACACTCCTACGTTAATTCAAATCGCTCGATGCATTGTCGTGCGCTCTGTACAGAGATAATATTTTCCCATTACGATTACCTTTGGGAAACTTAGATAAACGCGTGAGCATGTGGACATATGCAATATCGCAATATTCCATTCTCGCAACCCATTGTGGTATACCACGTTATATACCATTGTCATATACCACGTGGGTTTAACAGTAAGAGACCCGAGGTGTCTAGGAAGCATAAAACGCATATAGCATACTGCGCCGTTTAATACAAATTTATTTGACTTATCTTTATAACCCAACGTTCACTGGAAGAGTGAAGGCATTAATGTTGCGCAATGAAAATTTCTTTCAGAATATCCACCATTACTCCACGCGATAATGTCAAGCCGTTAAATGTCTGCGTAAATTCTCGAAAAATCGTCTCTCCCACGAATAGGTCATATATACAAGAGTGGCGTCCGATGCAGCTAATAGCGAGAATCCCAGCTCATACAGAAACGTCATCCGGGATGTGGAGAATGATACGAAACAAAAAGTATACCGCAACAGGTCAATGTGCGTTTCTATGAAGCTGCCGGTAGTCATTTAAATACGAATTAAATTGCATCGAAACAATGCACCATTGGCGTAAGCGAAAGGCTTTGAACGCTGTAGACCAAAGTGTCACGAGAGAGGAACCATGGTCCGGCATGATTCTCCTGCGCGTTATCAATAATCCAAATTGTATATTAAAACCATCGAACAGTCGGTGGGAGCATTACGTAATGGCCGATTCGATTAACTGCATATCGATATTAACTCTCGTACCGAACGTGGATTTCCGTTGAGTTTGAAAAGTCGAGAAACTCGATAGGCTCCTGGTATCGAGCCTCAAGGCACCGCGTTAAGTTAATATCGCAAAGCGGTAACTCGATATCGTCCTTCAATGCAATTCCAAGATATTGCAGTCCCATGGAAATGCCCCGTAGTACATTTAATACGATCAGCGAAGGCTGCGTTCACGTTGTTTATCGGGAGCGAGTCTTCAAAAGTGTCTCGCCCGGGCAAAATTGTACGAGGAAATTTGCCGGTTCGAGCTTCCGGTTTGATTTAGCAATTTTTCGTCACGCCGATATCTACGTGCTTCACTCCGATGCAGTAGAATGAGGATGCACCGTGTCCTCTTGGCACGGGAGTCAAAGTTTTTGTCTAGTGCCACTCTCGATAGTCAAGTACAGTAGATCGTTGATCGGTAAATACAATGTAACGAGCGAGTGACGTAGCTGGGACACTTGGATAATAATAACGAAGGATGGTGAGAAATAAAAATAGAACAGTCATTCATCCCCGAGCATCACGTTTGTCCAGGCATATGGATTCTTAACGTTAATATTTTATCTTATGAGAAAATCCCTCAATATTACGGTAAGGCGATCCGCGAAGGGACGCGTTTATATTCAGGAATTCGTAATAGCGATCTCTGCCACAGGACCTACGCAAGCAACGTGAACCGTGAAGAGTCGATGGAGCGCAGCTAAAACGTAAACTGATGCAGGTGGATGCGCGACGAAAGATAAAATGATAATTTACGAGAAGCCGAAGGAGATCAGGCACGGTGCTTCCTTTGAAGATCATTTTCCGAGAAAGTAAGAGTCAGCTGATCGAGCACGTCGAAGCTCCTTAGAAAAAAGAAATAATATTCTCTCTCGTCTTCTCTCTCCCTTTGATATCTAAAACAGAGAAAGTCAGGAAGCCCGATTCTTTTCGTATATCCGTCGTGTCCCTTCCCGGTGCAGACAGCGAAACACGCGCGTTCGTTCCTGGCGCGTGGGCAAGTGACGTCAGCAATGTTTAGAAAGTGTATCACAGATTCACGGCTGCCTGATCGCAAACCGACGCGATACGCGACGATATTTTTATTCTTGGGGTTTTCGGTACGTCGAAGGTTCGTGCAACGGAGCTTGGTAGTGACTGCAAGCGGGTCGCTCGTTTCGTTATCGCCAATTAGTCACGGGATGTCTTGTCTCCCGGCAGCTAGTTAGCTTTTGGTAATGAATTCGCAAAGTAATGGAATTACCGCTTACGGCGTGTCGTAACGACTGAACAGTGACGAAGCGACGAATAAAGAAGCGACATGCGTCGTACGAAATGCGGATACTTGAATATATATGTATAATATGTATAATATGTATATATGAGTATGCATACTTTTCAGGGAATAACAAAACAAAAACACGCTGCATCCTATCCCATTTGCCGCGGTTCCATTTCGCAACTGTAGCCGGCGGCTTGGCTGCCTGTGATGTCTGTATTTCTAAATTCAAGACGATCTCCCTACGCGACAAGACCCGCGTGGGACCGATGGGTTTTGAACGTCGCATGAAAAAGAAAAAGATTTGAAAAATCAACTTTTTTTGGTATTTTTGGACGAACCTTGCGAAACTAATAAATCGCGGAAAATTACGGAAAAGAAGCATTTTCACGGCGAGGCTGTTGACGAGAATGGATAGAATGCTGGTTGCTGGGATGAGATTGAAAATGAACGATAAAGAAATATGTTTTTATCAAATACCTGCTAAAAGTCAGTAAAATCGTTAAAAGACGAATAAAAATTTTCACTTGGACGCAAGATACAACAAACAAATGTCGACGAGAAACTGACGTAAAATTCGTCACTGTTGTTTTGTAGCCAATTGGCGAGCGTGCGATAACCGTGTTCAGAAAGTGTCGACGCGAACACGATTCGCAAGGACACATGTTTCTATGGCCGTATAGTAAAACAAGATCGGTGATCACGTGACCTAATACATTAATATGGAAAGCACATGTAGTGTTGGAAGTGAAACGCATCGACCTATCAAAAGTCGAATTCCATCTGTATATATATGCATACACATGTAGCGTGGTAAATACATGTGGTCATAGCTGTAAACGCGCGAGCGTAAACAAGACATTAAGAAAAAAATAAAATGCAAAAAACAAAGTAGAATCTGCTTTCAAAAAGTGGCACGAGTAACGATACAAGCGAGTGAGTCGTCTGGCGATGACATCATAACGATAGACACCCTGTATATTGTGTGATGAATTAATTTTACTACGAAACCAAGTCACACGGAAGTAGCCAGACGTATATATTTAAGTATGATATTATCGTAGCTCGATTCACTGTGGGAGTGCACGGTTGGTTCAATGTCAATCAGAAAACCTACGTTTAATGTCCGCGCATTTTTGTGCTGTAATATGGCTTTACGTCTCACTCGCTTGATTCCAATCTCAGTATCGTTTCTTCGTAGCTTTGCGACTGATAGAACAGACCGTACGAATTGTCCTTCGTCACGTGCCAGATACGACCTCTGAAACAGCCGGCGTTCGTGATATCTCAGGAAACGTGGGGAAATCGCCCATAGCGACGAAGAATCGGATCTCCCAAGAGACAATTGAAAAGCGGCCGTATGGATACCGACAGTCGATATAATGGCAGTCTGAATGCTGCAGCGAAGGACACGTGAAAATAAACGTCAACCGCGATGGCAAAGAGGACTCTGTATTTTTTATTTAAGTACTTACGCGAAATCCGCGTCGTGATACGAGAACAATTGTCGTATTCAACAAGATGAAATTTATCTTTAGATAAAAGACTCTTGACGCGTCTCGTGCGACGGCACGACTTTGCTCAATTCCGCATTCTCACTATCGCCAAGAATTTGGCACGTTCACGAGTAGGGATAATGGTGCTTATTTGATAACTGACAAAGGAGACTGCGATAATCTTCGAAAATGTCGATCGACCCAAGTGCTATTTATAACGTCTATTTGAATTAGAGAATCCGCTAATTTCTCACTGCCCTGCAATTATTGGGTTTCCCTTTATTTATATTTTAAATTGCGTTAATTTCTCTTCTCTCGTAATCACCTAGCAATTAGTAAATATTCCACAGAGTAATAGTTCGCTTTTGGTGGCGTCGTCTAATTTTCATGAATTCGTATCCAGCTGACGCTGTATCCAAGCTAGCGCAACGTTCGTAAACAGACGCATAAATTTGCGACAGGGACGACAATGGATGGCGAAGGACCCCTCTCCTAATGGCAAATGATATTTGAAATTTTCAACGGAGTCCTGACTGCGTCTCGCATGACTGGTATCATAATGATCTGTGTCTAGGATGACTCATGGGCTCGTAGAGTCGTTGAATATATTTCTTTCTCTTCCATTCCTCCCACTCGCTCGCGTTTCGGAGCCTTCGCCATCATCCCTGCATACGTACGGCTTTTTTCATCCCTCCCTTTGTCGTCGGACCCTAACCTAACGACCGTACCGATGGCCATAGAAAGTTCACGCTGTACACCCTCTATATAAATATAGTCTCTGAACCGTAACTGTCAGAGAGAGTACATGCCAAATGGTTTTATACAATTTTTCTTCAAACCAGTTGTTCTATACTTTGTCCTAACCGAAAAAGTAATTTACCTTATGAGATAAAGTATGATCCACGTATCAGAAAGTACACTACAAATGATCGTTACATTTGTACTACCCGGTATACCGCGCTATATCGTGAAATTCGAGTAACGTTAGAGTGCCTCACGAAATAGCTATTTACGGTGTAATATCGCAGGAGCGGCTGTCTGACTGTATCGAATACGGTATTCATTAGTAATGCGTATCGATCGAATCGATTGACTTAGAGGAGAGTTCTCATAGAAGTTCGTGAAACTGTAAGTTGGCTCGTAGAGAGTTTCTATCGGCGCTTTATGAGAATAGTTTTGATGTATTTTTAATAACGGGCTATATCGAGCTTACATAAAGCCAACGTAAGCTCTGTAGGATTAGTCTGTCACGTTAAGTAAAATTTTTCAAGGAAACAAATATTCCGATACCAAGTATTTATTACTACATATGCAAAGTAACGTCGAGGCTTTACGAAATAGGTTAAAGACCAAGAGGTCTCGTCTAGCAAGAAAGATTTCATTTTGTGTAGACTGCTGGAACATAAATGTCTTGCTGTCACTAATTGGCGGAGTTGTTAAGGTTGTTAGTACTCAGCGACAATGTGTACCTAGAGAGTGATTGTATCCATAATCATTAATGATACGTAGTTGAGTAACGATGACAACTTCAGTAATGAATTTCATATCTCGCGCGCTTATTGCATATGAAAGAATACGGATTTTTATCGTTTTATCGTAATACGTTACGTATCGATTTACTTAGTAAAATCTTGTTGCTAACGCCACTTCTATAAGATGATAAATCCCAATGACGATGTTCGCCGTGACCTCAGTCATTTCGGAGCCTATAATACAAAACATGGATAGAATGGCACTATGGCTCTCCAGTGACTTGGCGTGGCCTCGGTTTTTGCACGACACGCTACATCCCAATAATCTCATACCTTCCCAACTCTTTATCATATAATGAGTAGTACTTTGTACTCTAGAGAGTACAAGGTAGACACTACTGATTATACGTGCGCGCGTCATTTTGTATGATACAGGGTTTGTGTATCTAGAAGTGACAGCTATTTTTGGTACACTCGTTATACGGGCCAATGCACGAAGTACATGTGGATGAAGGCAGATCAGGGAACAATTAATTGTCACTCGTGTATCAGCTGATAAGACTAGACAGAAGGTTGCAGTGCGTGCAAATGTCCCTCTCTTCGATGTACGTAACGAGCAAGTCCTCTTGGCTAAACAAAGCAAGTACGAAGTCATTCGTGGGGAATGAATTACGATGGTAAACAAAAGTGACCACGAGCGTCTGTTCACAATTGTTTAAATCTTGCTGGTGACTTTTTTTGTTGCTCATACCCTTTTTTATCAGTTGATTTAAAGTTTATGGAGCCATTAACATGGAGCGGAGTCGTGATTGCGAGAGTCGATACACCTATTTTCAGGTGCTCACCTTAGGCCTGTAGAACCATTTTCTGATGGACTCCATCGCAGGGAACTCCTGGCCTCTTATGGCTTGTGGGTCACTGCGCTTGCCACGATCCTCCCTCTCGATTCATAGCGATGCCTTTTCGTCCCTTAATGACGATCCGCACTAACAACTCGCACACAACACACGACACACCACAGCTTTCCAGCGCAAATGCACGCTAATGCAACAGCATCGAATATTCACCGAGCAGACATGCTTGAAAAACTATCCGACAGGAGTCGCGCGTCATGCAGTGACGAGCGGACAGACTGTTCGTCAGAGCGCATGCGCGAGCGCATGCTCCATTGCTATTAATGACAGTCCATTTAGCCTTGGACTTTATAGGTAGCGCATCTGCCGGTGGAACTGGTAACTGCTTTAGTTCACTAATAATGCACTAGATGTCATCTCTGTTTAATTATATTTTTTCAGTTGCAAACATATACTGATTATCCGACACTTGTTTCATGCGATAAAATGTAACTGGGAAAAGATCAACGGGTTGATTATTAACTATAAATATCTTAACTTTACTATTTTAATATAATTAAATTTACGCGACGATGTAATGTCGATGACAGTATTTTTATAAGGCTTGGTTCAGTGAATTTCATGGTAATAAATTTTCTGGATATATTAATCGTATGACGCACAATCTTCACGCATTTCTACTTAGGATTCAAATAAACGATGTTTAAAAAAAAGAAAAGCACAAAGCATCAATTTCTCTAATGAAACCAATACTCCTACTCTTTCGAAATTGTATGATTATTGTTTTGCCTCAGAGTTGAATGTTAATTGAATTCCACCACTCAGCGCAATTGACCGAAACTTTTTGCATGCCTCTTTTTCCCATTTACTTTACCTTGGCGAATAGTCAATTTGCCACATCTACCAGGGGTATGTTCCGAAATTCACTGCCAGTACAAGTATGGCAGTGTCCCTGTTTACCTACACACAATAGAGCGAGACACAAGCATGCTCAAAGTACTGGCAGTAAATTTAGGAAGTACTCCTAAGGTCGGTACCTAATAAGCACGGCTAATGACATACATATAGCAATATTATTTCTAAAATTAACCATCATAATCTGATATCAGTAAAAATAACTTATATAAGTCGTGCAACTGCGATTAATATATCCTTATAGAATTTTGCACGGTACCTAATAATATAACAATAATTTTAAATTAAAAAATTATCAATCCTTACGGAAGCTCAATTTCTTGAAACTGACTATAGGATGCGTAAAATTAATCAAAGACGTAACGGATCTAATAAAGTTAATATTATTTAATTTTCTCAAGCACTCTAAGATATGAGCAGTGTAATTTTTCTTGTTACAAGTAAATAAACCTCATCGTTCACCCAAGTAGAAAGAAGTGTAACTTGATGATTTGTTCCAAATATCATCAATCAATGATCTGACAATTTATTGACAAGCACGTGTAAAACATGGCGACCATCGTAATACAAAATAATATTTCTTCTCCGAGAACAGTCAACTTGAATAATTATTATTAAATACATTACTTGTAAGCTATTTTCAGATAATAATAAATCTCGTACATAAAATTTTCATTAGAGTTCAAAAACTTCAATTATAATATTCATGACAGGTTTGCATTTTTTCTTATATTTTTCAAAGACGCTATATTCCATAATATCATTTTTTCCTATTAGCACTGTAAATACTGTAATTGGCACACTGTAACTGTACATGCCAAAAATACGATATTCAAAATTGTACAAACTTGAAAGATATTTTCATTTAATGACATTACAGTGGGACGTAACGAAGATTAATTTCTATAATCAGATACGTCAGTTGAAAATTATGTTACATAACGTATTAATTACATCAATATCAGACGCAGTGTTCGGCTGACATTGACACTAGTCAAAGGAATGTCATCAGACAGACGTTAATCGAGACTGGTAATTTCGATCGAGACGAGTCTCGATTCTCGATCTTCAGTACCATCATTGAGTCCAAGAGAGATAAGTTATTTTGAGGAGTGACAGGAATGAAGAGGGAGCTAAAGAGAGAGTCTAAGTCGACCAGAAGCAAATTATCACGTCGCTATAGTCTATGTACAATAGCACCTAATATTAATTAGAATTTGATTACAGGTCTTATTGTCCCAAGTCCATTGAGGCCAGCTAGTAAGCTACGTATTACGCATGAAACACAACAATAACGTGAACCACATACTTAAGAGGCTTGGTACACCATCCCTTATGTGAGGGTAGGTACGCGTATCGTAGGGGCTGCTATGCGTGGGGGTTCTCTTATAAAGGAGCCACCACAACCTCCTTGAGCATTGCATCCGCAGAATCGAAACCTGCAAGAGACAGGCCGCCCTCCTTTCTCTGATCCCGCGGAAGTCACGTATGCTAAATACCTAACGGGTTGTACAGTTTCATTTTGTCGGGTCAGTCAAATCCGGATACAGTGAAAATCATTTTTGAATTTTTTTTTTATTGCCGCTTTCAAAAATATCGCGAAAAGGCATTTGCATCTCGGTCTTACACCTTTTGACACTTCAGTCTTAAGATAAGGTAAGTGCGTTAATTTTATTCAAATTTGTATCTTCATCCTTTAAAAAAAAAGAGTGCTTCGTTGTGCTTTGAATTTTTCGTAATTTCTTAATCGGTGAAAAATTTGTACGATTTTTTTTTTTCATCGGATATATTTTCAATGAAACTATCACTTTCTGTATTAATGAGATTATTTTCGAAATTGCGTAATCGTCGATGACTCGATTGAGATAGTTAATAATAAAAATTTATCAATTATCCATTCTGTATACCATACCATTCTCTATCTGATAAGCACGTTTCTGAAGATTATTTAATTAAAGAGTATGGTTATACAATCAATTCCAAAATTATATCTTAACCGTAATACCGTGATAATAATAATACAAATTTTCTACAATATTCTCGCGCATTGTTTCAGCATAGAACAAGTAATAACTGAATAAGATATAAAATAATATTTTAAAAATAATATTCAAACTAGGTGCGACTTAAATAAAAGTATAAACACTTGGTTTGAAGTAAAATAATATGGTGCATAGTAAACGTCACAGAGAATATGTACTTTATATTACACAAGGTAATGGGAAACTCTATACTAGATAGTTTCTTACCAGACGTCCATGATCGAGTGTTCCCAGAATGAAGGTATAAAAAGTGCGACATAACCAGGTTTCAAGTGAAGTAAAGGAATGTACATACATAGGCATCTAAATTCAGATATAAATATATCTATTGTAAAACTGACTTACGCGAAGTGCAAGAGACTACCAAAGATACGTACATACAAAAGAATACGTAGAAGATACAGTGCATTCTGGCATCAAATCTTCTAACGAAGATATTGCAGCATCGGACAGTTATTACGAACTGTTTTACCGACAATCGGTTAAACCACTTTCTATAGCACTCAGCGGGTAACAATATTACTATAGGAAAGCGAACCAAATCGATAAGTTCTCTTAGTAAAGTTCCTATGGGAAAGATGGCAGGAATGACGCGCCTTTTCACGTCGTTAGCATAACAGAAGATTTAATCAAGCAAATGGTGTGTAGCATTAGAGTCAGTGAGTATCCTCATAACTTTTTACGAGTATCGTGTTAATTTTGAAAAGAGCTGTAGCACTTGCCGAAAATTCGCTAATATTTTTTTAAAAGTCATTCACTGCATTTGAGGTAAATCTTGAAAGTTAAAGGAGGCTTTGGAATTGGGAATTGAAATTGAACATACATTATCAACCGTCGGTGACGTATAAAATTGCGACATGAGTAAAGTAAATAATTATTATGAATTAGCTAATTTTATAAATATTAAATTATTTACTGTCTCGTCAAATATTAATTAAAATACACTTCACGCAATGCCGCTCACATACTGCTAATAGCTAATTATACGTAATACAATAATATACGAAATGAATTACCCACAGTCGTATCAGTATAATAAAAGGACATATCAGGTTTACTGATTAAAAGTAAGAGCTCGTAAACTCCGTGAAACACCCGGTACCTTATTTAAACTGTATTCCAGCTTACATATCAGCTCCTGCCAATATGGCGATTAATTAAAGAATCCAAAAAGAAAAGCAGGATCGTTTTACGTCTCGTGTAAAACGTAAAGTAGATCTCCCTTAACGAAACGTAACGCCATATCCCCTGGTATTTCCAAGCCGCGTGCATATTGCCAATATAGTGTGTACCGTCGGCACCAGATGCAATACGGTATCCGCAATATCGCCATTATTGGCGACGATCGTAACTCGAGACTTTCCTGTAGCAGAGAGAAGATCGGCTCGCAGGCAGAGAGACTCTCTGTCTATGCAACAGTGATGCTGCTCTCGTCTCTTATCCTCGAGACACTTAGTAGCACTTACTCTTATCTTAACGACCAGGGACGCGCGTAGCGCTAATGGGGCCCTTCAAATTAGCGCGGGGCGCCTCTCGAAATTTTCAGAATTTCTCGCAAGGCATGTGCTCCCGTTCTGCATTACCAGACTTTGTCTAGACTCCTATTTCAGAAGGGATTTGAATATATTTAAAATCAAAAATAAATTATTCGTACTACCCATCACGAATGGTAGCCGGTATGCAATTTCGGTGGATTTCATGATGGATAATTATAATAAAGAAAGAGACACTTTGTATGACAAAAAGTTCTATGAGATTGAAATTCTTTATGGGTCGTACGGGTATCGTGACTGCACGATTGAATCCGTAAATTCTTCGTAGAAGTGCTCGTTGCTAAATAGCTTGCTTAGAATGGTATTCAGAATTGATGGAGCCCCATAGGCAGCACGTTGCAATTTAGCTGTAATTTAAGTTGCAACGCTTTGAACGGATCGTTGATCCGGCAAGTCATGCGCGACGGTTAGCCAGTCCATTGTTTTACGTTTCCGCTCGTTGCACATCTCAGGTTAGACCCCCTTTTGTTTTTTCCTGATCCCCACTCGTGCGGCCAGTTTGCAATTAAAATGGGAAGATAAATAAGCTGTAAGAAGAATAACTTCGAGCAGATCTGACCAGTGTATAAATACGGTACGAACGATTTAGTGGAAATTACAAAAAGTTGTTGCACGGTCCGTTTGGACTGGTTTTTGCTACTGCACCGTTATAAGCGTGTGCCGATGCTTGAGACGAGTTGCGAGGAGAAAAGGATTTTTTATGAACCTGGATAAATGAGGATAAATAAAAAGAAAATTAAAAAAAAAACTTTTTTCTCTTCAGCTGAAAAAACTCTGTTTCATATCTTTGATCTTATTCACGGAAATGGGAGTTTGTAGTTCGGTCACTCTGAAAAGTGATTTTGATAAACGAACGATAAGTCTCATTACCCATGCTGCTCGTTCACAGTCCCCTAATCACCGGAAGAAACATAGCCGAGGTGTCTCGCGAATATTAATTACCAAAAGGCGTATCACGTAGTACAGATAACGAATTTTCATGATAGAAGGTCACAGGTCAAATTCTATTTTGCGTTATGTTAATCGATAAAATGTCCTTTATCGTACCGATAATAAAATTGCGAAAAGCGAATAAACGAATATCAAAATTTTCTTTTTCGTAATGCATTTTTTATTTTGACTATCATGATCTGACACATTTTTTTATTATATGCCCGAACGTTTAATGAGTCGGTAATGGGTTTTTCATTTTTTTAAAGAAAAATGGCGTTCTACCTGTCAACCGTTTTCTTGCTATCAACCGTGGTGGCTCTTGCGACAAGTCAGACTTTCCAGTACAGCCGTGGATGGACAAATGGAAAGCGAGCCGAGAATTCCGTGCTACCTGGAATTCCCACTGCAGAATTCAAGCTCTCGGGTTCATCCGTTCAAAGTTCCGGCGCTCGAATGATGGACGTGCCGACGCCCTGTCAGTTGCAAAAGCTTAAAATGTTGTTGCAGGGCAACGGAAACGAGCAGGTAAATTACGTAACATACGTCAGAGATTTTAATTTACGAAAATACCACGAAACCTACCTTTTTTACCTAATTACCCGAAAATTTACACTGAACCGTGATCTCTCGTATTTCAGCTCTACCTGTTACCATGTGAACTTTTGAGCGTCCCACGTGTCTCGCTTGCGGATTTTCCCATGGGACATTTTCGACGTGGCTCCACACTGGAAAGTAACAATAACTATTGAGATCTTACATAAATCTATTTGTCTCCATGACTCCCCTGTACGTTTCCCTGTCCAGTGATAAAAGACGAAAAAGTCTAATAAAAATAACTACAACCTAAGTTACCGAGTGCAACGACACGCGATGTTTATCTCCTGCACAAGACTTCTGGACTCCTCGAAATTCCCTGGATCGAACCATAGGGGAATACATTTTCGCTTACGTACAGCCAAACGCTTCGTGTAGCACGTTAAAGTCCCTATGGAATAGGTGGATATCACCTAGTCATTAAGTTTTCATCGGTTCGGCGATGCTGGTTAATTAAGTTTTCGCGGCCCTAACTGGACTCGCCCGCTAGAGAACATTGGTGCCCGTTAGTTCTGATCGGATAGGGATTTCCGCTGTCAGCAGAAGATGGAGTGAAACTCTGGTCAATCGAGACACCCGTTGAATCCTAGGATTACCAGAACGTTTCGTGTATCTCGGACGATCATTCGACACTTCGATTTCCCAGGAAGCATCGTAAAGCCTTATAGAGAATTCTGAGTAAACCAGGTGCATCAAAATATATACAGATATATATATATATATATATATATATATATATATATATATATATATATATATATATATATATATATATATATATATATATATATATATATATAGAAATACGATATATAAATATATATAAAATTATACAATCATATGTACGTTCAGCTATTCTAATTAAAAACTATATATCTCATCTATATATATCATATATACATATATATATATACAGTGAATTAGGTATTGATACAGTCACTTAGTTAATGGCGTTCTGGTCTGACTATCGTATTGGCTAATACACTTAAAACTTAGCTGTTAATCAGAAAGCAATTAGAGGGGGGTATGTATGGGAGAAGTGGGGGTGGTGGGTTAGAAATGAGTTTAATCGCATTAAATATTAAAATGTCGTCACGAAACTATGGGGTCACCCCCTCAGGGGTACTCTTACTATACCAGTAAGTTCTCACCCCTCCCCTCCCTCCTCCGCCCCTCCAGCCCTCCAGTATATCTACAGAAGAGAGTCTCACATCGGGATGCACCCTCCCCCCCTCCCCCCCGGGAGTATTCTCCGCTTCCTATGGGGATCTGTCGTATACGTTGAACGTAATAGTACTCTTGTATGGATATAGTATACGTCAAGTATTATCCATGGACGCAGAATACACCCTACTGTTATTCCAGAGTAAAAGAGCCGTATCGTTTCATGGTATCTGTCCCTGGATACGAGGGTGAGGTGGGATTTTTCCCTTGGGATAAAAATTGTTACTGGTAAGTGATTAAAGCATAAGGCAGAGTCTTATGGGAACTGGGATGAGTTTGATTCCTCTTGTAAAAGTATGAGAAAAATCTGACGATAAAGAGGGTAAAATAAGAAAATGAATTTTTTCGTTGATTAAATTAAAAATTTTTTTAATTTATCATATTTTTAGGTGAATAATTATCGAGTGAATAATTAGTAATAAATTAAAAAAAAATTATGGTAGCGTTAAAATTCTCCGAATTGTGAGAATCAAAAACGAGTATGGTAAAAGTTGAAGTAATCGAATAGACATCCGGTACCGTTCTATTTGAGGTGTCTGTAAAGCTAATCCCTCTTTGACTCCCTTTTTCTTTTCCTTTCTTGTCAACGTTTTTCCGACAGGAATCCCGTGTCTCGCCCCGTCTACCGGGTGAACTATAATTCTATAATGTCACAAGGTTCAGCTTTGAAACGAATATTATTACCAGTGATAGGAAAAGACGATGAGGACGTAGAAGTCGTTCATGACGGTGCTTGAGGGGGTGGAATAAGGGGGGAAGAAGGGTGGTCGGGGACTGTTCCGTATAAATACATAAATCAGGCAATCATCCTAAAAGGCGCTTGGTACAGGATCAAGAGTGCTTGTCGCGTTTTTGACCCGCCGGATATTTGTCTGTCGCACGTCATTTGTCATGCGAGGGTATAAGGCACGTGATACTCGCGACGAAAAACAGCCTGAATTTGGTAACACTAAACCCTCGTTTTCGTGCAGGTTTACGTATAATATTCACAATCGTATATATACTTAATAATAAAGCCATAAGGTAATTTTATGAAAATCGATTACGGATAAAAAGATTGTATGGATTTACCAAGTTGAAATTTTTTGTTAATGAAAAAAAAAATTTTCTCGTGAAATTTATGATAATTCATAAAGGAATAGCGGTCGATGATTTCGAGGCATCCGAGAGCGCCTGAACCGGGACTGAAATTGAAACCAATAACAATCGTAATGAGAGTCCCATTATAAGTCCCGCCAAGGAAATGAACGTTCTGGGACTGATTGTATACAGTAAAAGGTTCAGCAAGTCCGTGTAAAAAAATAAGCCAAGAGCGAAAAAGATTGTTCGATCTTGTACTCTTTCTTATTTCATCAGCCGAATCTTCGCTGGAGTCTATTTCAACGGGCAGTGACTATACCGTCGTAATACAGGTCGTCCCACGAACCACTAACCACAAACGATCGGAACTAGAGAAACGGCAAGTTCTCACAAAAGGTATAGGACTCTTCTCTAAATTTTACAGACAGGAAACGCATAATGGCTGGTTCGCAAGAGTACGTTTTCGGAAATGCACCTATTCAACGCTCGTTAACCCATCGGAGAACGATCGCTTCCCAGCCAATTGGTATACCACCCACATAAATGTTCGTGTATCGATCGTTTTTCTATATCTGTATACACCGAAATACAACGTACCTACCATCGTTTCCATTGCAACGTTTATTCGACCTCGTAGCGACCAGGTTGAAGAATTTTCTCGCGGCGAATCGTTTTCGCGCGCGTGAAAACGCAATCACAATAAATTTCGTGGGGTCGTGTAAATATCCGAAACGGCGCCACGCGCGACTGCTACTCGAAAAGCTCATGATTTTGTAAGCGTGGTTTGCGCGTAGCACGCCTAGATATATTTCTGGATGTCCATAGTATATGGCGTCTATACCTTACGTGGGCATGTTATCTAGTGTGCCAGTGTATCTGCATAGCGATATACGTTTGAAAGGGGGCAAACGAGATAATTGTCGAGACACAGCCAGAAGAGCGTTAGAGCAGAGCGGAGAGAAGGTAATATTGGATTAGTTTTTAATTCGAGATACCACCGGCGCCCCTGCCGGTTCCACGTAGTAGGGAGCACGTGTCGGTACGTGGGTTAACAGGGTGGACGCACAGAGGGACTGATGTAGGATCGAGCATTAATTCCATGGGCGTGTGCCGTGGCGTCTGTTATATCGACTAGGGAGAAAACTCGAAAAAGTTTATTGAGTAAGAAATTAGTGAAGTTGCTTAATTGTGTATTCAATAGGTTGGCCAATCGTTAAGTTTTACCCCTACCGTAGAAACAAAGCCTGACGTATTCAGAAGTTCCTTCCGAGTCTGCATGTACAGGTATAATTTTCCAGCGTGAAGCCGGCCAAGTCATTCGAACTTAAATTGTGCTTCTTTGTAGGCTTGCCCGTGTGTTGGTTACAGGTACCCATAATGACAGCGGGTAGTCTATTTACGTTAAGAACTAGAAAAACCACAGGGAGGTCTTCCTGCCAAGATTACAGGGCGCCGACGCGTCGTGACGCTTGGCCGTCTAAAATGTTACGAGACGCAGATAGCACCTCTACACTGGAATTTCACGGGTCAGTCGTTTCCGTTGGACGGAAATCTCGAATGTTTCGAGTGAAAGAATTAAAATTAATTTTTACTTTGTTATACGATCCTCTTTTTTAATCCTACCATGGACCATTTTCTCCTTACGGCGCTAACGACTGGCTTAATCCTGGTTCATTCGCGAGCTGCCAGTCGGGTTAACCTCGGCGAGCAATCATTTTTTACAGGGTTAAGGATGACGGCTCAGGTGGTCCTGGAGCGATGAGTATCTTCAGGATGGCCTTAGAGTCCTGGAAAAGGACCGAGCATCCCCAGAGGCCGGCAGTTGTCCCCAAATAATTGGGCAGGACGGCGCGTCGTGTCTTCTCTGCAATTATAGGCAGTAAACGCAGCCACATCCTGTCCAAGGAGGTCCAAGTAGTCCCCGGTGGAAGTCGGGACTGTTTCGAGGGAATAAAACAATTAGAGGATTCGAAAAAAACCAGCATCCTCGCACGACCGCTATTATGGACCGATCTGCCGGAAGATCCTTCATTTCAGTCCTGTCGTTGCTTTGCGATTATACTTGGGCCTTGCTTCGACAGCTTCCTTCGGCCACCTTGATACTTTATACTTGTTCTGAATAATCCTTTACTGTCTCCCTCTCTCTCTCTCTCTCTCCCTAATACCAATCAGACGTATCCTCTCAGAATACATAACTACTGGTATCGCATCAGGAATGACTTGACTTCATTGAGCGTGACTCTCTGCGGGAAGTCATGAATTTTGCAATACAAACTTATCTGAGCAACTTTGCGAATTTATTTTGCGTGACACTAATCAATTTATTAATCACAGCTGGAACGACGCAGAAAGTAAAAGTATACCTCACCGACGTTTCTAATATATACAGCAGTTTTATTTTCAAGGGAAATAATATATCAACTCTTGAAGGCAAATTAATAATTGAAAGTAAAATGAAAAAATCATTCCTACGTATCTACGAGTGTTTGACATCATTTCGAATGAATAATAAAAGTAACGCAAAGCCTTAGGCTTAGTAAAATGGCACTGCGACTTCTCAATTGCCAAGCGTATTGCACATGTGCCAATATAAACTAATGTTTAACTCGTTATAAATAATTTGTTGCGTGTCACGTTGCTCATAATCATACGTAATACCTATACGATACAGTTCAATTGCTTTGATGGCTATATAGTAATACGTATGTATATCTGTCAATGGGAATTGTAGGATCTGATCATGGGAGACCTATTCGCATTGAAAATACCAGGACAGTCATACCTCTGAAGTGAGGCAAGAGATTTTAGTTATTTGTACAGAAAGAGGAAATAAATGTTTTTTTTTTTTTTTTAGTGCATTTAGTGACTGCATGCGGTATCGGAATGAATCCGTTATTATGCATTTCAGTTTCCTTTATATACAACATTACACATAGGTACATAACATCACATAGCTTGCTATATTCAAATACGTACGATTAATCTTAATCTAAAATATAATCGCCATGACGCTCGATAACGATATCCATGATAATACTATTGTAGTAAACTGCGCGTATTATTCAATAAATATATACAAGATATGCCTGCACGCGTCACGATGACTTTCGCACACTCGTAAAAGCGAAACAAGTACAAGTGTCCGTATCGTACAAGTTCTATTACCGATCCTATCCCTATATACAAAGATATGTCACGCAGTTTCTGTCACTTTTCATTTTCAAAATTTATTTCTCTCGATTCGTTCGTCTCCCAAGAAAATAAAATAAAAGGAATCATAGCCAGCAGTCCCGGAGATTGATATCCAAAACCAATAAGTTTATCGCATCTCAAAATATGTACATATGTGACTCGAATTACTTTCACAGTCGATTTTAAACGAATTTCAAATTCGCCTCTTTAAACTTATAATGCAACCCTCGACGGTCACGTATAGCTCGTAGCTTAATGTTTCTCTTTATATTATCTTTTACTATATTCAGCAAATCGGTTCAGCAAGAGGCTGCGGCGGTCCATAAGGTGAGGCCCATTGTGCGACGGGATGTCCCATAGGTGGTGGGGCCTGTTGACTTTCTAAATTGGGTCCTCCGGCCCCTGACCCATGGGTCGTTACTGTCGTGGGATATCCGACCTTTCCTAACGCTTCAGCTTGCAACGACAGCATCAAACGATTCGCGGCTTGTCTTTCGGCTTCTCTTTCTTCGGCTGTCTGTCTCCTGGAAAAAAAAAAAAATTAATTAGACATATGACGTATGTAAGAAAAATAAAAAAAATAAAATCTCAAATTCTAGCAAAAAAAAAAAATTCAAGATATTTGATATCTGCCTTATTTCTGTAAATTATATATTGAACCAGGATACTTCGGTTAGACCGAGATACGTAATGGAGTTAACAAAATAATAATAAGTTACATATGTCAAATTATATCCAAGTATTACAGACACAGTTCTGCAAATACCATCAAATAATGCGAGATCCTTTTCTTTGGTTATCCGTTTAGCCGTACCCGTAAGAGCCAACCGTGTACGACGGGGTCCAGGAAGAGGCTGTGGTAAGCAGGGTTAGTTCATGGGGATGAGGGTTGAAGTGAGTGGCGTTGTTGGGGCGGAAAACAGAAGACAAACGTAATAAAGATAATTCGATTCCTGACAGTGGCGTGGGTGCACGACGGAGAGGAGAAGGAAAAGGGTGTCTGTTTTCTAGCGCTAAGTCTATTAAGGAGCCACAAGATGGCCGACCTGTTGGTGAGCCGACGGCTACGAGCTCTGGAGAACTGGCAAATAAAAACCGTACTGTTCCACGGTGTCATTGGATTAAAGAAACCTAAAAACGAGCTCAAACTTTTACAAACTCTCTGTCGTTGTGTCAGCCGGTATTAATAAAACATCACTTTGACAAGCTTCATAAGTGTTTAACGAAAAATTTGAAAAATACTGTGCCAGCTATATCGATGAGTTGGTACCAACCGAACAAGTCAAAAATCAGCTAAGTATTTTACCTTATCATTAAAACTGAAAATACGGCGGCAAAACACTTGTAACTGTGACGTACAGCGCGTTCAGTATGTACAAAGTAAATAAAGGCTACTCAATAGCAAATCGACCACGAATATGTCTGCCAGTCACAAATTGTTGGGTCAGATTCAATATTGAAGAAAGAAAAATTGACCCAAGTCAAATATAATAGGAGTACACATATTGTCCGAGAGAATGGCAGCAAAGATGGATAGTGATTTAAAATGAAGTTTTTCTGTAAAACAAGCAGCCACAAGGTAGATTTACAAAGTATCTACACAGTAACATTATGTTTGCGAGCAAAAGACCGTTCGTAGTCGCAGACCCTTTCACGAAGGCGATACCATCTTAAAGTAGACATTTACGACGTCCCGTTAACATATTTCACTTGTTCAGAGAAAACAGTGGAAAGTGCCTATGAGAAAAGTGAAAAGTAAAAAAAAAGAAAGAGCCAAAGGAACAAATAACCAAAGTATAACGGGTGATTGGTAAATTTTAAAAGGGTAAGGATGCATCCGAATGCCAGTTCGAAGTCATGGACAAGGATGCTCTCCAATAAAGAACAGTTGGTCCCGATAAGGTGTGCTACACTTGAACTTAAAAGTTATTCGGGCCTCAAGGCGCCAGCCGGGGGCCCGCAGCCAATCAGCGACAGGACTACGAGCCACGAAAACACCGTCGTTCCATTAGAGTTAATCTTGGGCCCTCGGTAATTAAACGGTTCCGATGTACCTTTGTTTATCTCCATTCGATGCCTCCCCCTTTTGGGCCGGACTGAGTTTGAGCCCGTTCTCGGTAGCCGTGTACTATTTTATGTTTTATTCAAATGCACCCCGCGCCACGAACGACGGGGGCCCATTATGACGGATCGGGCCTACGGCCTCTTGCTCCACTCGCGGTCCCATGTTGCCTCGACTGTCACAGTGGATATTTCTCGAGCCTCAGGGACGAGGCCCACTTGGAACAGCAGGGAAGGACAATTTTCGAAGCGATTTCAAGCCGTTTTCCAGGAGCGATCATTAGGCCCAAAACTGGTTCTACCGTTTCTCTATCCTATAAAGACCAGTGGCCCACTGGTTAACGCGTCTCTTATTCGGGAAACAGAAATCGGGCCTGCTTGGGCGACCCTTAATCATAAGCGACGATCCGACTGATTTACGTGATGCCCGACTGAAACTCGTTCGAATCAAGGATTGGTCCAATTTTATTCTCTTAGCTCCTCCGTTCCATAGGAATACCCTCTAATCATGAAAAAACAATCCTTAGCGAATGTCCACGCGTTATCGACGAAACTAATGTTATTAGCCATGGACCTGTATTACTTTAATAATTAGTAATTTCCAGTAATCGCTTCCGATCGCAGGACGATTATACCTTCTGAATTTCACTATGAATTTATACCGTTTGCTTCTCGTGTTCAGCGTCAAAATTCTTTCGGACCTGAATTACATTCGAGCTAACTCGACGTAGCGGGAACAACTGTTACGCCATTGGGACAGTGACAGGGAAGCCTACGCCCTTGCGAGTAATTAACGCGGTTAGCAATTAATAATTGAGGGTGCTGTGCCGATTACATTTTGCAGCCCTGCCACGAGCACCCCTATTCGCCGTCCAGTGTAACCATATTCAACCAACCTGGGACACATTACCCTTATCATTATGCGAGTACGATTCGGCACGAAATATCGGCTACATCACACGCGTTCCGGACACTCGTTAAACCATCTCGAAATATCATATGTGAACGTATTATCGAGTCCCTATATATATCCTGATTTATAATCCAACGGAAATAACCATTTCTGACATATTTCTTGGTAAATTCCTGGTATAGTTACGCTGCTGGATTTATCGTAGAAAAATTACATTACGCTATATCAGGCATCCCACGTATTCATTTGGTTTCCACGACTGAAATATATCAAAGATAAATACCAGCTGGGACAAATTTTCGTTAAGCTAAGTATATTTGACACATTTTATTCTCTCAAAAATCCAACTGGAATACCAGTTGCAAAAGTCACGCGCCATCCTAATTAACTGTCAGTATTATCCTACGTACATAACTCACGTCAAATATCAATTTCAACGTTAGGAGTGTGAGTAATAAAAAATTTCGCCAATATTCATAACTTTCACTAATAATTCAACGAATCTTTCAAAGCAATTAATAATCGTCCATTACAACAGCTTTTACCAATTAAAGGTAAACGGATGACCTCGCGCACGCATTACTCATATGTTTCGTGTCCGATTAACATACACCTTTAATGGTCAATGAGACATATAAAATTATTTATGATAATTTTCTCAATGGGTTAATTAAATTCTTGATATATTCGGAGAAGGTAATTTATAATTGGTGAAAAGAAATTTCGAAAAAAATTGTTGCAAAATATTTCGTAATCCGCACACATGTACGTATAATGTATTCGATGAATCGTTCGTAAATTGAAATTTTTTAAATACTCCAGTACACCAGAGTTATCCCCGTTCTAGTGCGACCCGCAACCATAGGACTTTCTTGTACACGTAAAGATACACGTATACCCAGTTGCCAGTGTAGAAACTGTAGTAACGCAATTACGCGATCACTTTACAATTTACGCGATTAGCTGGTATATGAGTAACCGCGATGGCCGCCGCTCGGAATGAGAATTTCAGCGATTATCCTCGATTTTCTAACGTCCCTATTTTACTTAGAAATTAAACGCAACGCAGATCTAGCTATGACGCAAACTGTCTGGGGGGGGAGTCCGAATCAGCTTGAAACGTTACCGATAAACATATGTATTTACGGGTATGATAGAGCATAGTTAAGCATGAATTCTTTAAGCGGAACCTATATCGAGACCGAGGTCAAAGTTCACTAGATCGAAAAGGCTGAAACGACAGATTCGAATGTTTGACAGTTTAAAAGCCAAGGAGCTCGGAGCATCTGGGGG